CTGATATAAAATAAAATTATCGCCGTACTTATTTTAACGTTAACCTGTACTTATCGAATAATTGGCTAACTCGCGTAGGTGTCTCTAGTACAGAAACTATTTAGTTACCTATCTTACAGTTGTTACCTAGTGTCCTAGTAGTTTGTTCATTTTAATATTACTCAATTATCTTAATTAAATGAAAACGTCTATCTATCTATATTTTCAAGTTGAAAGCTGTGTGATCATTCTAGTTCCCAAGGTGGCTTGAAATCCATCGGATCCAGCGAACATCATTAGAGTAATATGATTGATTAAAACCAATTATATGAATCAATTGGAAACTGGTCATGAAATTATTAAAATTTGGTATAATGCAGGAAGTTTTTAACCGGCTTATTCAAATTTTATCAAATTAAAGCAAGTAAAACATGAATTTGGGAAAACGTTAAAATAAACGGTTTTTTCATTAACGGGAGGACAAGGTTCTTTTTGTTGATATGTAATAGCAAATTCTAAACAGAAAAGTGTATTTGTTTTGATGCCAATTTAAAATTCCACTCTTTATATCATAATAATTCTATTCTATGTTTAAACAAATAATAAAAATAAATAGTTTAAAACTCATAATTTTCATATTTCGTTATATTTATAGTTAATCATTTTCATAATAATTCATAGTTTTTATAATTATTAATCATTATGATAAATAATAAAAAATATAATTATAGATATTATTACGCTAAGTGTTTGTCTATATGACGGAAGTAGTTCCGTTATGTGCAGATTAGGTATCCATTTCATGAAATGTGGTCCACATAGCGGAATTACGCGAAGTGGAGAAAAAGCGTTTACATTTCGCGAAATGGATATAAACTCTGTCCATTTTGCAAAACGTACAATTACGCGACATGGATGCGACATATATATATATATATATATATATATTATGGTGGATGACACAAAATTAACGAATGACTTCGTTCATAAAAATGATTAAGTCATATAATTAATGTGTAAAAACACATTTTAAACTCAAATGTATATTTTTCACCGGTCATTAACATAGTTTACAAAGATTGGTGGTCAATAATGATAGATCTCAAATAAAACATTGATTGTTATATTATTTGATTGATTGTATTACTACTTGATTTATTGAAAAGTTAGGTAATTAAAATTAATAAAATAGGTACACAGTATGAATCATTTTTTATTGATGTAGTTATGACTACTAAAACGTTTCGAACTGTTCAAAATTTCCGCTGCGTTGCAACTACATTTCTTAGTGTCATAACCAGTTTTGCAATTAAATCGATTGTATTCTTGATAATTAATTATTCCTTGTTCTGTGGCTTCAAGTTGAGTTATATTCCTATCTTTAATTTTTTCATGACTTCATCCAGTTTTATAAATTGTTTGTTACATAGAGAAATTTGTGCTTTTCTATACTTGTGTTTTAATGCAGCATATTCTGTACTTGGTTCAAATATTAGGGTAATTATTATTTAAAATTAAATAAATATTATTAAGTTAAATTTGGCTTATATCATTTATACAGGTTATTTTCACGTAAAATAATTAAATTATGTAGAGAACCTCGAACTTTATCCACAACTGGTATTGGAACACGAACAACTGTACTGACTTCGACCTTTGAGGATTTTTCGTTAATCAATTTTAATATTTTTGATGCTTGTTTTTTGAGACAAATAACCGATTTTTGTCGTTGGTCTTTTCTTTGTTCAATCTTTTTATCTTTTTTTTTTTTTAAAAAATAACAATTATTATTTTGTAAAATAAAGATAATTAATATTTAAAAATCATCTATATTTTTAGTACTTTTTATTTATTTTCAGTCTCCGAGTTAACTTCATTGTCAAGATTTTCAAAGGTCTGTAGTATGTACGCTGAAGAACGTCGTGAATATAATACTCGTTATGCTATTATTTTAGTACTTACTGGAGATTTCAAATGATGCTGTTCAGCGTAGTTTATTCAGTGAAAATGTAGAAACACGCGATTTTTGTCTGTTATTACTGCTGAACGTCAAATTTAAACGGTGCTGTGTGCCTGTGTCACCGGCGAATGCTTGCTGTACTCTCGTACACTCATTATGTCGGTACCCAAATTTCACGCCGTGCTGTGCGTAAATTAATTTTGTTATCACTTGAGCAACATCGCATCGTTTGAAATTAATTCCACAGCGACATCAGTAACTCGCGATCCATTATGTATTTCGCCCTCGGCACAGTGGTCTGAATATCGAGCTTGTAACTAAAAACTAATCATTGAAAAGCTGTATATTACATAATATGATATTAATTATCACGAATTTAATATGTAATAGAAATAAAATTGTCGTCACGGCTGAACAATATTGTTTAGAAGTCTTATTTTATAATTTTTAAATAACACACTCTGATCGCGTCTACGTGTCTGCTGGGTAAACGCCCAATTAATTAATTAATTAATAATAATAATAATAATTACTATTATTATTATTATGTACCATGGCCTCAAAACTGTGATTGCTGCAATCGGTAATATTTAATTATAATAATATTATGATAACACTCGGTTGCTGTAATGTACATGTAATATGTATTGTTTAGTGATTATCATTGTTACTATTACATATGTTTTAAAATTTGTTTGTCCCCGACGCATGTGGTGATGACATCTTCGTCGCGTATCCTAATACCAAAATTAATAACATCACTAATTCGAATGAGTCATTTTTTTTAACGATATTAATGTGTGTATAATAATATGAGACATTATATCGATGTAGAATCCAATTGTACCGAGCATTAATCATAATGCATTCGTAAATATTATATTATAATACACAATGTTTGTTAAAATGACTGAGTTTCGACAATAAAAAAAAAAAAAGGTTAGTCACTTTGTGTAATTTGTCATTGAGTATTTAAGGGTAACATTATAATTAGATCTGTTATTATGATTAAATGGTAAATTATTCTACAAAAAAAAAAACAAAAGTCAGCCTAAATACTTCTAAGGATACTTTAATATTCTATACTATAATTGTAATAACAGAACCAATTATGTATTTTTTTACTAGTAAGACAATAGATCGAACTAATTTTTGTTAAAAACATATAGGTAAACATATTACATAATATCATGTATACGTATAATATACTATATACATGTATGCATATAAGTATTTATAATAAAAACATACAATGAATATATGGTAATAAATAATAATTATTACAAATTACAATATTAATTTTCTTTATGTAATATAACAGTTATTTATTATAATCTATATATGTCAACACCAACCGTAGCGTAGAATGGTGTGGATAGGTTCGTAGTATAAAATATTCAATAACTAATTTAAATATTTTCATCAATGGGTGGCTCCTTTTATCAAACTATTTCATTTGAATGTACTTTTAGCATTTATATTCTTATTGTATTAATGATAAAGATTGTATATTAATTGTAAAAAAAAAAAATAAAAATATTTTTAAAATCTTGCCATGTAGATGTATTAGTAAATAATAATAAACGTATAGTTGTGAAAAAGTTTCAAGACCTTTCAAATAATATTTTTGAACTATATCAAAGTAAATAATATTATTTTGTTTTCGTTTTTTAATAAATATCAAATTTTGTAAAAATATTAACTGAAATAATTAAAAAATGCAAATATTTTTTTAAGTGTCTTGGGTTGATGTATTAATATAAATTATGAGAAATCTCGAATGTATATTTTTAAACCTCGGGGTCCTGAGTTATTAAATTGTCAAGATCTCTTAGTTTTTTTTTTTATATAATATTTTATCATACATAAATAAATAAAATAATTACAAAAATTAAAAATTTCAAACCTTAAAAAGATCTAATATTTTTAAAATGATATCATTTGGCTAAAAATTACCAGTATACATATTTAGAAAAAAATTAAAGTTTTTACAGTTATCCTTTATTCATTTTTGAATTACAAGATAATAAAATTGATTTAGTTAAAAATCAAGGTTTACGTAAAAATTCTCGTTTTACATGATTGTTTTAATTTTTCCTGATTATTTTGAAAAGTATTGAGAATATTTTATCTTTGAGTTTTAACATTCCAAAATACTAAACAGATCCAATCCATTACTAGAAACCAATTTCAAAGTTAAAAATTGAAATAGATAAAAGGTGATGAAATATATATATATAAAAAAAAAAATACATATACAATTGTAAAATAACATATTCATCGCTCAAATTAAAATATAAAAACTATTTCTACAATAGAAATAAGTGTATGTGTAGTAATATAGGATACCCACCTTAATATGAGACAATAAAAAATAGTTTTCGAAGGTCGTGATCCTGGACCTAACCCATTGCTACTCTACTTTTTATCTCGATAACGACAATATTACGATATATGCATGGACTGACATTGTCTGATGGTGATATTATAATAATATACATTAATATTAAATATCTGTTGTTATATTTTGTCACTGCATATTGTGGGCGAGGTATTCTTCGTAATTTCTGATTGTTCGTTTTTCAACGATTCACAGACGCTCTACACATATAATTTATACTCAGAGAAGCCATATACATACGTATTATGCATAATATACCTATTATACACATTATACAGTGATATTCTTCTTATCTGTAGTTTTTGTATTCGAAAAATTATTTATATAATTTTAAGAGTATTACAACAATTTTGAAAAAAATATACTTTTTACTATTTTGCAACACTATTGTCAACTAAAAAAATAAACAACTTAAAGAATACTTATGATATGATACAAAAAATATATAAAAGTCATTTTTTTTTTTCAAAAACATATTTTTAATGAGAAAATTACTGTTGAGGGATAGGAGAATTACCTTGTAGATTAGGTTAGATTAAACGCTTTAGGTAATTATGTATATTCGTACCCCAAGGATATATTATAAAAGTGTACGTATTATATAATATGACTAAAACATATTTATTCTATAATAATTTTAATAATTATTATTATTTTACATTGTATTATGTGTAACAGAGTTTTTGAAAAAACGTTAAGACTCACAAAAACATCAAAAGTGTATAATACGTGGTTCACTGCATATTTTGTGTATAATGATGTGCATGAATAAGGTGGCAAAGAACTGACGAGATTCATAGCATAAGTATTAACAACTGCAGCTTAATTTTTTTTGATAATCTATATAGAAATAAAAAATAAGGAAAAAAATGATATTATATATTATATTGGTGTTTTATTATAATATAATATTGGAGTATTATTAATATAATATCTATTATTTATTAACTATTAATATAACTACTAGTGTTTGTGTTTCTATTAATTTTGCTGATTTTTATTATTTGAAATTTTTTTATTTGTTTAAAATAAGATGAGATATTTTGGATTTTATAAAACTTGTAGTGCGATATATCACTTATCTCAACATTAAAATGACGTACATAATTTATATTGCTTCTACTTCCTTTGAACTTCTTATTGAAAAATATACATATAATACAAATATGTATGTATTGAAATTTAAAATAGGCGTATAGTAATGATAATAATAATAAACAATTTGTTCGTTTAATATTTAACGTATAGGTTGCTATTATAATAATGTTGAAATCGTATGCGTCTTAATTTACAATAAAAAAGTTTTTAAACAAAGTTTGGTTACTCTTTGGAATGATGAGAAAACAGTAAATTAACAATCATCCGACCGTTATTATAGATAATTACCTTGTATGCGTTTCGTCTGATCAGGATGAGTTTTGAGAGCAGTCTCTAGTAATTCCTCAGCAGCTTGGATATCGCCTAACCCCCATAATGCTTCAGCTTTGTAAAGGACAGCGTTCAGCGATCGTTTATTGAGACGCAACGCTCGATCACAATCTTCGATAACTTCGTCCATCAGACCCAAATTGATCTTTGCCAGCGCCCGGTTGGTAAATAGCACGCAGCTGTCTTTGCGCACATCGATAGCCTAAACAACAGCACGATGTAATAATAATATATTGGTAATAACAAATACGTTCAAATTTTAGTATGAAAATAGTGGCACGAAAATTATAATACTGTTTTAATAATCTAACCCATGGATTAGATTTTGGTTTTTGAAATAATTGCATTTATAGGCGTATGAGTAGTAGTAAAACAACAACAGAAATATAGATAAATAATAAATGATAACGTACACAAACCTTTTAAAGGTTAAGTTAACTACGTATTACTGTAAATTTAAGTATCGCTATAATACGTTCGCCTAGAGAATGTGGATAATTCGGGCATACGGCTGCGAGCAAGGTTTATTGATGCGATGAAATACAACGCGCTATGGTTTGTGCGTAACCACATTTTCTCATCTAACTGAATATATGGGTAATATTAATTAATCAATATTAAAATCTAAGAGCGAAAAAATTTAAAAGATATCCAAAATTTTAAACAAAAACACTGATAATATTATTAATAAATAATTATTATTATAATAAAATAATAATATCTGCTATCGTTTTAAATATATTTTTAATTTAATGGATATTTAAGTATGAATAATTATATATCATTAATAACCAAGTAAGTATTCAAGGTGAATTATATTGCTATCGGAAAATCAAACGATAATAATAATAACAATATTATTTCAAAACAATATAAAATCTTATTACCATAATATTATTTTAGTTATATTAAAAAAAATATTAAACGTTAAAGGTAATATAATGCGTGTTGTATTAACAATAATCTCAACTCATTACTTATATTTATACTACTTAGGGTACGTTTTGTGTGTTGTATATAATATTGCGTAATTTTTTAAAATTATTATGCAAAATCTATATTAGGTATTAATATTATATGCTATTTAGGGTTACAGTTTTATTCTTTTAACAGTGAATACTCATTGTATCACAAAGTATAAATGTTTTTAAACTTCGAAGTCACTGAGAAATAAAATATTTTTTTTACCATTTTCATCATTAGTATTTAATAAATAGTATCAATTATCAACTGTAAAACTTGAAAGTTGAAACATTCAAAACATATACATTTAACAAATCCATTACAATGATGAATGAGTAGGTACTCAATGACAAGAAACACTCAACACCTAGTAGCCACTTACTGAAGAACAAAACAACTTCCGCATTTTTAAGTTTTATTTTTCTAATAACAATAACACAAATATTATTTTCATCTTCCTAGGCAAACTATTTTCATAAAAATTTTGATAAAAAAGTAAGTTTTTAATATCCGTATATTATTACACCATTGTTATTTTACTCTGCAAAATTTTAGTCCACTACTTTATTCATTAAAATGATAAATACCTACTTATTACAAATTTACTAATATCTTTCAATATTTATGCTCTATACATCAAAATATTTGGAAAAATATTCCATTTCGAATTTTGAAATTAAAAATGTATAATTTTATTCAAAAAATTATAAGCATAAAAAACGAAACGGTAAAATTAGTAAAAAATGTAATTTATTTTCAAAGGTTTGGTTTTATTATATATCATTATAACAATTTATAAAAGAAAATTTAAAAACGTTATTACTTTTTTAGGATAGAGATTGTTTATTGTTAAAATAAATTATCAATTTACTTGTATATAGGTTCGTAATGACAAACATAGTGAAACAAACAAAAATCATTTTTTTTTTAAAATTATATCCTAAGAAGAATTTTTGCAACTAGATTTTATTTATTAATGCTAATATTTTCTGTAGAAATGATTGTTTTTTATTGCGCATTATGTGAATTATGCATCATAATATACGCATTATATATATTAAAGCTACCTATATTGTACATTGTTATCTATAACTCAAAGCCGTAAATTATTTAAACTCAAAGTTATGTTGTTATCATTAGAGATTATGTAAACTGTATATACAATAAGTATAATACGTAATAAAAATTAAAATCCGTCATTATAAAGAAATATACATAAAATATAATATGTCATATAAATTGTTATTAATTAATAATATTGTAATTATTGTTGTTTAGCAGTTTATTATTGTTTTTTTAATTTATTTAAAACTACGTCGAAGATTACTTCCACATCAAGCTACCACACCTATTAAAATTTACAATACCAAATATTATTGCAATCAAATCTTGGCCACAATCTCAATAGTTTATAGTTAATGATTTCCTCAGTGAATTTATGAAGACATAAATGCATAATTATAACAATTTGAAATGCTAAATATTTTATTTCGCCGAGGTTTAATGATTGCTTTAATAAATTACATATTCAAACAATAATAATAAATGGTATTTATATCGTGACTATATTTTAACGACTGTAGACATAACAGATTTATACTACATAAATAAGTACCACACTTTTTAGTTTTTTCAAACACAAAAAATTAATTTACTGTTTAAAGCTAATATAGAAAATTTGGAGTATGGTGTACAGGAAGCGGAAATAGGTTTATGCGGGTAATAATAATTATTAAAATAAATTCAAAAGCGTAATAATAAACCATCAAAGACAATTTTCAAAATTTTTCTAAACTGATCTTTATTACGTTTTTTCGCTATCCGAGGGATTGGTGATAAAATGGCTGTGTGATAGTAAAAGCGATGTAGACTAAATATTATTAAACAGTAGTGGAATTATCTCAAAGATCCCGTGAATATGTATAGCAATAATTCATACATTATAGCAATTGTAAACTTGTAAAAATCTATTATAAAAACATTTGTTGTCGGGTAACAAGAATATTCCTATAAGCAAACCTTTGTTCGGTGCGGTTAGATCAGAAAAAAAAGTAAACGCAAAGAAAATAAAAATAAATCTTGTTAGTTGTCAATAGGTATAGAATAATATACACCAGCCGTTTGTAAATGTTTTCTTTGTGCGTATGATTCAAGTAATGCATATTATACTCTTATTATTATCGACGCGAAGAAGCTGCAGGTTAGAAAACGAACATTTTCCATTGAAATGCACACAAAGCGTGCGAAACCTTTGATTCACCCTTGATATAAATTTGACACGTTTTCATGACGTTGACACGACGTATATTATATATTATGTTATTATACAGAGTAATTCATTTGTCGTGAATCGGGTAGTAAAAATATAAAAATTTTAAATTTTCCTGTTCATTTTAAAATATTACCTGTATAAAATAATAACATTACATAACATATTTTTATTTGTTATTACTTATTATTAACAACATTTTTCGTTTTGAGTAGGTATGCCTTTAAAGAATCCTATATGCAGTGTTGTGCAATTATTATTACAAAAGTGTTTCGATAAATATGGCAAGTTCTTTATTTTTTTAAGTTCGGTAGTCGATCTCCATTTTGTACGTCAAATATTCAATAACTATGATGGACGATGTTTACTTTATATATTAACTTATAATAAGTTTTTCGATGGTTATAATATCATCGTAGTAGATGGATGATTATTTTCAGGAGGTCACTACTCCTTCTCTAATGCTAACTTGAACATTCAAATCGTAATAACAACAGTTTAATCAGCTTAATGATTGTCGAAATGTATATAGAACATAACGTGTGTGGCTATACGTATTTATATAATATTGTTATTTATTTGCTTGATTAGCACATTTATCTCAATGCACTATTAAAATTAATATTAAAATCGAACTTCGAAGCATTTTATAACGCATTATAATATGGTCAATGCCTATTAAAATTAAATTATCTTTAGCTTTATTTTTTGAAAGAAGTTTTAGATAATATTAGCGTTTTGAAAAAAATCTAGAATAAAGTAAATGTTCTCCCAGGCCTAGGGTATATAACATGAATGTGTATAATAAATACTATTATATGAAATTTTTATAAGATCATATATAATATTAATATTTATGTATCTTACAAATAGTTTTCTAATATAATATTAATTTAATGTTAAAATATAAGTATATGTATAATATAATATATACGGTATTTACAATGTAAGTATAAAAATACTATTAAGTATACAAAAATCTATTTTTATTGCATTATATATTCATGTAACTGTTTATAAAATAATTAACTTTGATGATCTATAAATAAATTGTTCAAATAAAAAAAAAAATAAGGGTAAATTTTAACTTATTTTGGCCAATAACCTTAAATATTTATTAATGTTGCCTAATTTTATTTTTATTTGTAAAATACTTGTACGTTTCTATAGTTTATTATTGTAGTATATATTTATATAATAAATATATAGCGAGAAGCATGATAATATATCAGTTTTTCGCTTTTAAATTACTCATATCTTGTATACATATATGCGATAAAGCTGTCCAAATTTTGGAACTAGTATAGGTACAAATAGTTATAAACGCCAACAATCCAATAAATAATATGATTTATTTAAACTGTTATGTTGAATATAATATACTTATCCTAATCGATTATCATTAATGTGTGTATCCTTTTGGTCATGAAGACAAGGAATTATACGCGAAATTCGTTTGTAAGTAATAATAAAGTACGAAAAATGTAATGAAATACGATAAACCCTTAGTGAAATATGATTTCTTACTTGATTGTAGTAGATGAGAGCTTTTTCATAGTTCCCCTTACGGTACTCACAATTTCCCATCGTCTTCAAATAGTCTGAACGTTTTATTTCCTTTTTCTTAGCTTCGGACCTCTGTTTTGCATCTCTCTCCACGTGTGCCATAAATCCAGCTTAAAACAAACAAAAATATTATAAATATTTAATAATATATAGATATCACACACAACTTCATATTAAATAATATTATAATAAAGACAACGAAATTAAATAAAGGAATAATTATTATTTACATAAAATAAACATATATTTTATAAAATCAGTGCTCAGTCAATACATCAAATTTTCGCTGCTTAAGAAAATTACTTGGCCATATTTACACAATTTTAGCATCTCTCATTTGATCACTTAACTAAAAAGTACATTTGCTGCACAAATGTTGACGCAAATAATTATTTCCATTTTTTTTCCATATATATATTATTATTATTATTTTTGTAGATTCTGATTATAATTATTTATTTATTTTTACATGTGACTCATAATAAGTATATATTGTATAAGTGGGTAGCTGATCATTTCTTGTTATCACTGTTGAAACCTACACAATATTTATACAAGTAGAATAAAGTACATACAATACGTTTTGAATACCACAGATATATATATATATATATATATATATGATTGGTAGTCAGGTAGATACTTAGAAAAAAGATTGTCGTTAACCAGGAATTCGTTCGATAGACAAACTTTATATTTTAAGAAAATCGGTAAATATTATAGCGAGCACTACTAGTAATACTATAGTATACCTAGTATATTATCTATATTTTTTAAGTACGAGTATATCAACTGTACTAGGTATACGAATTGGTACTATGATGTTCCACTATTATAATATTAAAGTGAAATTATTTCTAAGATTTCTGATGTAAACTAATTTTTAATAATTTATACACAATATAGTATATTATACTATAGTAACTACTAGTAGACTCATCCGCGTTGGTTTTAAATCGCGTTCAATCGTATTCTCATCAATAAGTAATGGTATAGGAATAGGTTTATTGGTATAAGATTTGCGATAATACTAACGCGTTGCAGTGCAGTGTGTATTTAATACAGAGAACGACACCGGTTCTTACCTTAATCGATCTACGATGAAACCCCGGAAGTTCGTGATGTTGCATTTTCCATTCAACCGACCGCGACGACCATATCACTACGCATAGCGTATACACACAAATACACAATATACCTATATTTACTATTTTGTAAGACACGCGCAAACGTCAGCGTATTTGTTGCCCGTATGAAATCATTTTGAGATTTGCATGATACCAATAATACGTATATACATTGTATAGTTTACATAAAAGCGTTTTTTTCCTGTATATTTTATTGCCCGCTTATATGTAATTTTTATCAATTCGTTTTATATACATGCTATACAACGCTGTTTCCGGGTTTCACGACTGTGTTAGGTATGTTTATATTAGTATATAATATATAAATAATATATTACGTTTTATATCTCCGCATTGCACGTTCTTTGAAATCTAATCGATTATTAACGATTGAAAAAATCGATTTTTACGTGAATCATTTTACAATTCTATTTTAATTTAATGATTATTATTTTTTTCAGAATGATTTCAGTTATGGGATGTATAATCTGTGTATATTCTTGTAGTAATACAGGATATCTCATACCTACCTATATCAGTATCTAAAAATATTGTGTGCACTATATGATACATATGTACAGAATTATAACCTATAGGGTGCCTACGAAATTTAATTAAGTTAATGAAATTTAATAATTTTAGGTTTGATAAAGACCATAACTAGGGATATTTTAGTGAAGTGTTGTAAATCTTTAACAAGTCATATGACCTTAAAACCAATCTTTACTAATTTTTCTTTTAAAATATTTGGAAATTGAATGTGATGTAACGTAATTTTTCAAGATTACAACGAGAACAACGTACGTGTATAACGGGTTTTCTTGTTTGATTTGATACGTATGGAAATTGATCTTTTCAGTTTTGAATTATTGAAAATTTTTTTTTGAAGATATCTGGTGCATTAAATTGAAAATTTAAATCCCAAGAAATTATTTATACAATATATTAGATTGTATAGTTTGTTTATATATTCATAACATTTTAGGTAATCAATATTGTACTTGATTTTTAGTTTGTTTGATTTGTTTCCGTGATATATTCATAGTAATTCGATTTGTATAAAAGATTTATCATTTTAGTGATGCATGTATAAAAAGATTTTTCTTTTTCTTTTTGAAAAGCATTTTAAATATTCTCATTTTCAATAACATCATAATAGCTTCAGTTAAATCAATTTAACTTTTAGTAACCTTTACAAAAACAATTTAAAATCAACTTATCTTATGTTCTGAGAAGAGTGATACATTTTTGTTAGCGAGTAAAAAAACTTAAAGTGTAATAAGATAAAAGCTACACTTTTCACCATTAAAAAAACATCGAGAATACAAATTATTTTTGGAATACTCAATGACAAGATATTTTCGACATACTATACAAAATATAGGACTTTAGGAATCTCAGTTTTTTTCCTATATTATATAATTATATATTTTAGATGGATTTGTAATTTACTGCTTATTATTTTGAACATAAAATATATTGAAGCTATACCTTCGGATTCACTATAAATAAGTATTGACCTTTCCACGACAAATATAAAATCTTACTTTTAATTATTTATAAAATATGTAATAATGAAGTATAATTGTACATTGAGAAATTTCAAATATTTATTTTATTTAAATAGCGGTATAAATAAACGTAAAAAATAAACTATGATAACGGTGATATAGCTTGTATACTATGAACATGAATCGTACATAATATTTCTCAAGTATTTACACGAAATGTAAATTTAAATATATATATATGTATTGCATTACTTAACTGTAAATAAATATGATCTTACACACAGGTATTTAAATTTTAAATATCAGATGTATAAATAAATAAAACAAATATTTATAACATGATATCAAACGATTGGATAAGAAAAAATATTTATAAAACGACAATTAAAAATAATTGAAAATTGTAAAAATTTTTGTAGTTGCTCGTTGACGTAGGAGTTGCTAGATTTAAGAGAGGAGAAGGAAAACAAATAATTTTAATAAAAAAAAAAAAATAAATATTTACGGAAACCGTTCATATTGGTAGTACCTATAATACTACTAAAATATATGCGTACCTAAAGTACAATATAATATTTCTCAGTATTTCAAATAATATTATAATATCATAGCTCATATATAAATAAAAATAAATTTTCATACCGGCATCTGCGGGTATTTCATCTGCGGGTTTTCCTAAGTCTTCGAAAGCCTTATGGTTTATCTTCGTACCATTGAGCACAGTTTTCAGTGAGCTCTCATCCCATACCTTTTCATCGTTACCCAATAGCTCTTCAGCCCGGAGCATACCTACTTTGGATTTGACTTCATCCTTCGAACTCAAATCCTTAATAATTCCACCTGCAGAATAATATATGTTACAAAAACTGTTATCAACTATCTAATATCATTTGTGTGGCTTTGATAATGATTTCGGACTAAAAGAAAAAACCTAAGACAATAATTCTTCTAAAAACTAATTATAACATAAGCAATATTTACGTTAGTATTTGTAACTTAGTTGCGGAATTTATTGTCATAAATTATTCAAACTTTAATGTGTTAAAAAAAAAAAAATTTATATTTTCTTGTAATTTGAATTAAATATAAAACAAACAAATTACAAAAATAACCACCGATGTCTTAGCATGTTTACTGCAGATAATATTAATTTACCAAAAATTTATTAAATTTTGTATTTCGCTTATAATTAATTTATTATTACTAAAACAAAACTATTTATGGTATAAAACTGTATATTAAAATTAAATTAAATGTTTAAATAGTATAACGTTCTACACTTAAACCTACGATTTTTAAGGCCTTCCCTTTCTAAATTCCATATATATGTAGTAGTAGTGGTATATTACGGTCTAAAGTATAATTTAAATACACTTGTTGTGTTTTTTCGCTATTCTGTAAAATAAATAAAGTTCAAACAGCATATGCTTAAGCATAGTATTAATTAATACTATTACAAATAGAATTGTTTATAAAAGTTGTAATCTCTGAAGGAATTATTTAAAAAGTATTGAAATAATTATTTTTTTGTGAATTACTATCTATAATTCCGTGACAATTTAATTAAAAATCACACGAATTACAGTAATAAGTTAAAAGCGTGGGTTGGTGAGCTGAAGCCCCCCCCCCAGTTTTCAATAACGTTTTATTCCGAAAACGCATTCATTGCTCTGTTTGATATTAAGTCAGAAGTTATACAGCGTATTCTACATTAATTTTAAATTGAAAAGTGCATGCTCAAATTATTGCTAAGAATTTATGTGTAGTATCTAAGTATATCAAATTCCTTGCACCAGTGACCCGCTATAGTACATTGTGTATCAAATGTGAATAGCTTTGCTATTATTTGTCCGTATAACTAGTGCGATATTATACTTATGCAAATGCAACTGCTATATATAACGGTGTGTTGTATGTACGGCGTGCACCTACCTATGAGATTTACTTTGCGCATGGATTCTTCAAACTCTTCGTCGTCCATTGTCGGATCGTGAGACTTCAAAGCGTATTCGGGTAGTTCAGTATCTATATATATATATATACACACACAACTATGTTACAATGTACAACGACACTGTGCTCGCTGCAGTTGCAGCTGCGTTGGCGAACACGCGATTTGTCTATAAATGGCCGAGTGCCAAATGACGAGTGAAAAACAGCGCACAGCGTTATTCGATGATAATATTATAAGCCACTGCGTATACGCGTATTGTTGTTATAATAAAATGTGCATAGTTTCCCCGCGCACTTCTGCAGTTGCCATAGCAAAATCAGCTATTGATAACGCTCTGCGGCCAGGAACGTGCCGCTGTCGTCGCAAACCTCGTGCGATAGGTATATTATGTGTGCTTTACAGTAATAATATTGCTGTGAAACGCGGGCATTTAATGTGTAATACAATACATCTTATTGAGTCTATAGGGTCTACTGTATAGAGGTTTTAGCGAACTACATAGAGACAGTATTACAGAAATAGAATCTACAACTTGAGAGTGTATGTAAAATTAAAAATAATTTTAAAGTATGTCGTCGATTAATAGAATAAAAAAAAAACCTTATTTGTTTTCGCAAAATATTAAAAAAGTTCCGATAGAATAACATTTTTTGTATCAAGATGTTGGTACTTCAAATCAACACATTTTACATAATTGATTATATTTGTACAAGAACAAATGTTTGTTTAAATAATACGATTTTATAAATATTTATAAAATCTGTGTATAAGTCATGTTAGGAGTCATTGTTATGCTTGTAAGCAACAATCGTTTTGAGTTCTTGTTTTTATAAATTATTTTATTTTATTGATGGATATGGAAATGAGGAAATGTAATACAATGTAGGTTTAAGTTAATTAATCTATTTGTTCTGTTTATTAAAACATTCTAATACTTTATAATCAATGAAAAGTAAAGTAAATATGAATTTAATTATTATCATACATGTATTATATATTATATTGTATGAATATTTTGTAGTTTATTTATTGTTATCGTCACTTGAGACAATAACATATGCTCTTATACTAGTCTACTGTCGTACTAAAAAGAAGTTGTTGGAACCTTTGCTTATTATGGGTATTTATAATTATTATTATTATTTTTTTATTGGTATTAAAAATAAGTTGTGTATAGCCACAGTTATATACAACTACGGATATTTACAACAGATTTTTAATTTTTTTAACATGATAATAATTAATAGGTAGTTATTAAAACCAATCAAATTTAAAATTTAAAATTATATATTAAATGACTGAGTTGAATTTGGAGTGAGATGATTTTCAATAAAATTCTGTTTCTTTAAAAAAATCCATCGAATTAAGAGAAATCGAATTTCTTAGAAGAAAAAAAAACTTTTCTTGAGAATTATAATACAAAACGTGTGACCAATTTTACTTTTTTTTGAAAAATGACCAAACGTTACTGAATCAACTTACGTCATCGATAGATGGTAAAAAATAGACATAAGTATATTGCATTTCACGCATTTGTAAGTGGAACTATTATTCCTAATGGGCCAAACAGTATAATAATTAAAAATTACCAATGTTAACATAATGTTCTGTTCAATGAATTTCCAATATTATAAATACATGTATGTATTGCTTATTACAATAATAAGTGCACCTCTATAACTGTAAGTACCAGTTCAAAAATCATTATCGTGTAGGTAAACAACCTGTAACTTAGTTCATGGCGTGATTGTGTACAGTTAACATTATACTTAATGTATTATATTAATGCTGCGTTTTTTTGAGTATTGACATTTCAGTATTTCACACAGTACAACACTAAACGTGGTTATCGCTTATCGTAATTTTGATTAAATTATGAATCCTTGCAGTAAGCGCATTTCTTAATTTCAAAATTAATTATTTTAAATTCTAAATGGAGTGGTGAATGTATTGGTTTGATAATTATGCGTGCTTTTTACAATTTTTATTTTTTATTTTTTTTTTGTACTTCAAAAGACTTTTTTAGTAGTAAAAATGAACTGATCTTTAACTTTAAACAGAATAGCATGAAAAAATAATACAGGGTTCTTCAAAACATTTTCTTTTAAACAGTTGAGCGAGTATCTATATTTATTTTATAGGAGAATGCGCTAACTTACCTATAAGTAAATAACAGTAATGACTAAACTTTCCTAGAAATGTTATATAAAATAATTAGAATAATATTTATTTGATTTGTTGGTTTTCAAAATTAAAATTCGAAATTAAATCAATAAACTTACCGTATTACTAATATAGAAAAATAAATTACTTAATGCAATAAAAATACAAGTGTAATAAATAAAAAAATATTTAGAAGTATTTAGGCTGACTGCAAGACCGTCTCTGTTTATTTATTTTTTTTTTATTCTGTTTCGACCTTAACAACAAAAATGTATGTAATCATAATTTATTATTATTATTTTTATATTTATATAATATTTTGTGAATATGCGTGCAGCAGTCCTTCGGTTTATGTTCAATCTATTAAAATAAAATGTTAGTATAATAATAATTATTTGAATTAATGAGAACATTACAGTGTGAAGTGAGCGTGAGTTATTATACTAACCTACGTTATGCCTTTTAAGAACGCTAAGTGAAAGGCACACAGTACACGAATCGTGTGGTTATAACAGCGGTGATGCATACTATAAAGCACTTGCACAAAATAGGAGTGCATTAAAATAATTATTTTTGTTAGTTATAACAACAATGATATTAAAAATCTTATGTCTACGAACAATCAAATACTATGGGTCTGTTGAAACTGTGAACTATATATATTGATGAACGCTATAAAAATATATAACACAAACCAGAATATTAGTCTATAAAAAATAGTTATGTGAAATTCTTGATCTAATATAACTTTTTAGGAAAAACTCTGGAGAAAATTTAATATTTATACTAATGCTCAAGTCTCGCATGGTTAGACATAAGATCATCTTTACTACACCTGTCGCATCTATTATAGACGTAAGTATATATTATGTAATATTTTTAAAAGTTTTGGTTCTTCTAGATTTTTGTTTCAATAGATTGTGATTAAAAATAAAATAAAATATTCAATTAAGATACTATTAATCATTATAATAAAACATACATATCTGCTTTTGGCAGCTAACAATTTATTATAATAGTATCACGTATTTCCAATCTCCTTAATTAAGTAATTCATTCGACGGGTTTAAGAGGTTAATGCGGATGACCTTGCATTTGGACTGATTTTTGTATTATGATTTAGAAATAAAAATAATATAATATAACATTTAGTTCAAATATACCAATATGACTTCACACTGAATATTTATTACGGTTATACCTACATACTTGTACTTATACATTATATTACAATTATCAAATATCTAACTTTAATATACACGCAGCGTATTTATATGTTGTTGTACACATGGTTTATGTAATGATATCATGGATTGATAATAAAAAATTTCCATTAAAATGAAAAGAATTTTTTTTTAAATTTTAATTGGCAACTTTTTACGATAATTTACATATTTAACCATCAGAAACCATAACAACAGCATAATCAACTTTATTTGTTTAAATATTAACAGTTATACTTTTGACGAATTATTGCAGGTAAAATGTTAATCAACTATATTCCACTACTTTATTAATTACACTTTTTTGAATTAAGTAAATTTATATAAGTCTTTAATTAAAATAATTAAAATTTTAAATTAATTTAAATTCTGTATTTTTTATCCTTATTTTTTTCATAAAAGTTAATGGTTTCTATACATTTTTTTTTTTATGAACAATACAGTATATGCATAAATGAAAAATAAATTTTCCATTAAAAACGCTCGTCTTATAAACAATTTATTTTATGGCGGACGTAAACAACCATCCACAGCCATTTATTATTATTCTTGATAAAAGTTCAGTCAACTGCGGTGTATATATATCAACATCGACGTTGGTAACTTGCGCGCACATTGTATATCATTGTGATCATATGTAATATTATGGCTTATAAACGAATTCGACGAACGTGTCACGAGGTTTGACGTGAGGTCAACAAGCCGAGATAAAAAAAAAAAAATATGAATAAAAAAAAATGTACACGAATAAAATACCATACGGTATTAATCGTTTAAAATTTTACGAACGCCTGAACCGTGCATAGTGGACGCGTGCTCAGCCACGCCGGCTTGTGGCCAGCTGCAGTACCGACTGTGGACCACGGGACGGCGTTCGGATGCTGTCGGCACGCCACGGGACATCGTCCGCGTCGGCCGCGGCCGCTCGGAGACACGTCGTCCGACGCAACCGACCACAGCGTCCACCGTCACTGTTCGCCTGGCCACGGTACTCACGCGCGGGACGATCGCTAGTGCAACTCGCACTCGCTCGGGCCCGAAGGCCAATACCGCGTTGAGTATCGCTCGAGCGGCGGTCGGTTGTCCGGGTCGCTACCGGTCGAGCGGCGGTCGGTTGTCCGCGTCGCTACCGGTCGGGCCGCGGTCGCCGACCAGAGCGGTTATGCTGGTAAGCGTGCGTAACGACGACGGCCCAGAACGAGTTAGCGTCCCGAACATCACTTCGCGCGCCGGAGCGACGTCATGTACGCGAAGCGCGATCGAAGCGGCATCGCTCCGGTTTGTCCGCGAGACTGTGACGCACGTGTCGCTGCACAGCCAGCAGCGGTGGCGGCCAAGAAACATTTCTCCGCCCGAGCGACGACGTGACGTGTAGTACGGTCGACCTACAGCTGTGCACCAAATCCTCGCCGGTCAGCGACACGAGTAGTGCGTGCAGAGTCGCGTGCAGCTCGGTCGATCTGACGTCATTCGTCCACGACGATCCGATCGCACGTCGAAACGCATCAGGTCCCGTCAATACTCGTCGTGTGTGTGTGTGTGTGTGTGTGTGTGAGTAAACCAGTGGCGGCGGGATATAGGATTATTTGAAGCGATTGCTTCATGTCTGAAAGCCCTTGGCCACTGCTACTTATGGGGGGTGGTGGTAAAAATATTTAAAAATATACAATGTGCTTCAAAGCCTCCACAATTTCGCATCGCCACTGGAGTAAACTCATAAATAAAATATTATGAGGTGGGTGGTACGCGGTATCCACGTGTACCCTCTACTAAACCCACTGCGATGGGTATACTATTCGCTGGCTTTATCGCGATTCGTAAGTATACCTACTGTTTTGGGCGTGAATAATAATAATAATAATAA